AGATGAAGGTCATCTTGAATCACAGTCATGCTGACTCTGCCATTCTCTGGCTGGGTGACCTTGAGCCAATAATTTTCTTTCTCTGGCCCTCAACATGCTCATTCATAAAATAGGGACAGTGCAAATATCACACCAAACAACCCTGCAGCATGGCGTGAGGCTGACATGAGATCACGTGCAGAGCACTGCATAGCTGGGAACATACCAAGCCCCATACATGCTCCTTGCTTCCTTGAGTTGCCAGTTATGAAGGTTAGTCCAGTGTTGATTCAACAGAGAGGCAGAATGACCCCGTGGGAGGAACCAGGCTGTGGAACCTAACAGACCAAGGTTCAAATGCGGATCCTGACAGCATGACCAGCTGTGACTCCCCAGGTCACTATTTCGACTTTGTTTCTTTGTCCATCAAATGGCCCTGTATCAGAATCACCTGTATGGCTTGGCAAAAGTTCCCATTTCTGAGGCTGGGCATCTGTAATCCCAGCACTTTGGGAGACCGAGAAGGTGGGATCACTTGAGCTCAGGAGTTCAAGACCAGCCTGGGCAACATAGCAAAACCCCATCTCTACAAAAAAAAAAAAAAAAAAAAATTAACCAGGCATGGTGGAGCACGCCTGTAGTCCCAGCTACTCAGGTACTAAGGCGCGGTGATCACTTGAGCCCCAGGAGGTCAAGGATGCAGAGAGCCATGATTATGCCACTGCACTCCAGCCTAGATGACACAGACCCTGTCTCAAAAAAAAAAAAAAAAAAGTCCCGATTTCTGGGTCCCAGGCTCACAGAATCAGACCCTCTGGGGGTGAGACCCTACACACTAAATTTCTAACAAGCTGCCTCCACCCCCACTCCAGGTGGCTGGATTGCACCGTGGATTTGAGAACTACCAGGCATGTTACAGGCAGGCTGGGACTACTGTCGCTGGCTCTCCAGTGGAGCCTTTCATAACAGGGGCTGAATTACCAAAGGTCTCTTGTAAGCCCCCAATTTGCCCATCAGACATCTACGCAGGGGCTGCAGTCATCTCTGTGCCCTTCCCGTCCCTAGGCCTCCCTATCCTGCTGCCAGGGAGACTCTGTGGGCTTGAAATTAAATTCAGAGGAGCTTTTCAAGACTCCGACATTTCCGAAGTGAAAGGTGGGAGGAAATGGAAAAGCAACAATGATCTCCTCCCTCTGTGGCAGACACTCACCACCCCGACCACTGCCAACACTGTTCTCGTCGTTCCATTTCCTTTCTCACTTTTAATCATTTTGGCCAGATAAGACTTTAGAAATTAATCCTTAGATTCTGATAGGGTCATTTTACAGGTGAAGAAGAAGAGATTAAGAGATCTAGGGATTCTGGTTTCAAATTAATTTGGGTCTTTAGCAGCAAGATTCAGAACAAATGAGAGATTAGTATTTTCAAAATGCAAATATCTAAAGAATTCAGGGGTCATGAGTCAATCTCACGTTTCTGTTAAGTGGACAATTGAGCACCTTTTCTCTAAGGCCCCTCAACAACTGTGACAATGGGGGTGAAGGGGGAGGGAGATGGGGAGAAGTAGCTACCTGGAACATGGGACACGTCTCGTGACACCAGCCAGGGTAGAGTGCCAGAGTGGGATGAGTGGATACGAAAGGTACCCTGAGGGTCCTAGGACTGTGTTAGCCAGGAGTAGAGTGGGCTACGAGGTGAGATGGGCTGTGAGGAAAAAGATAAAAGGATTAGAATGAGAACTTCACTAGATTCTTTGGCAACAATGAGACGCTACTACACACCTCTCAGAATGGCCAAAAATCAGAACACGGACATTACCAAATGCTGGGGAGGGTGTGGAGGAACAGGAAATCTCATTCATTGCTGGTGGAAACGCAAAATGGTACAGCCACTTTGAAAGACAGTTTGACAGCTTCGTATAAAACTAAGCATACTCTTAGCATTTGATCCAGCGATCTCACTCCTTGGTATTTGCCCAAATGAGTGAAAACTTAGGCCCACAAAAACCTGTACATGAACATTTGTAGCAGTTTTCTTCATAATTGCCAATACTTGGAAGCAGTCAAGATGTCCTTTGGTGGGTGAATGGTTAAATACGTTGTGACGCAT